TTTTACACAGGTAGTCACTTAATACAGGTTTAATTCATATTGAAATTACTACAATGGAAAACATCAATAAGTCAGGTCTCTTAACACAAAAGACCTCTTAACAGAGGTTTTCACATGAGCAGGTTTGACTGTATTTAACAAAGAAATAATGAAATTAATACCAAAGAAAAGAGCTAATATCACATCTAGGAACTGTACTCTTTACAATAATAAAGAGGCCAAACTTACATGAATTAAAGGTCAAATTCATAATACACAACGAAAGGTTAGAAATTAACAAACAAATCAAGTATCATAACATGTTTAAACATCCCACCAACACATTATAACATCCTACAATACATTTAACCACAAACATGTTCACCCTAACTCACCTGGAATCGGGAGAGTCCGTCTCGCTAAAGGGGACAAATTCAATTGAACTTTGTTTAAAACTTATTTGTTCTAATCAGTACAAAGTATAATTTTCATATATACCATATGTAAATATTGATATTTATCAAAAATTCATCTTTTCATACCCTAACAATTTCTTGCAACCAATTTTAATTTTTCAAATAAAATGATGGTATTTTACTTATTCTGCAAATACTTGGTAAAAATTGACATAGCCATGTGTCCAACATTTGGAGACACTTGGATATACTTACACTTACACCCTAATGCATTGTCAAAGTTTCAGTTATGATATTTTCAATCGTGTAATAACCTAATGTTCATTTTAAACTGACTGACCCAGGTATTAGTAAATAGGTAGGCTGGAAGTGGACCAATGACCAAGTGGACAGTTAAGAGGCTTGTCGTGTATGTATATGACATGAGGATGTCCTACGGATTAAGGCCTCACCTAATATCTGACCGTTAATACCTACATATTGTCAACTTGTGTACGGATAATATGACCCATCACATAGCAAACCTGCATTATTTGTTACAAGCTCAAAGTCTCAACAATATGGTCACTTTACTGAAGTCCCAATGATTGATTGAACAGAACTATATAACTACATACCTTCTTCTAAAGAAACTTCCAAAATATCGTACAAATCTGCTGAGGATATGATAACTGCGTTTTGCATATGGCCACATCCGAGAGATTATAAACCTTCCTGCCTTTCCATCAATGATGTGATTTTTTACCAACAACCTGTTATTGTCCTATTCAAGCTTCAGCAATACACAGAACATTTAAACACCTTTCCGATTCTGTCCATACATGTTATTGTTGTTATACTGTGATTGCGTCCGATCGTAGATGCCAGAGACTGATAAATATTTCACTAAGGGGGGCCATTCAAGGGTCGACAAATACCTTTCATATAGAGACCAGATCCATATCGCATGATTGAAAAGGTTATGTGTATTTCATGAAAGGACCCAGAGATGAAAGCTATTCTCATAAACTGAACAGCAAACACATGTATTAACAAATATATAATCATTTAGATTTGAATTAATTTAAATGTGTCAAAGGGTTTGATTAAATGAGTTCTGCAGTAGAAGTTTATGTGATCTCTCATCAATGATAACATGTTTGGATTATAATCTAGTGCCTGGAATTTAGATATTGATCAAATGGCCAGAATCTTTGTAACATAATTTGTATGTCAGATAAAGTGGTATTGATTTAAATCATCGTAAAATAACAGCTATTAGTAAGATGATTAAAATTTTACGCTAAAATTTCCTGAAGAAAACTTCTTGACAATAAGTCACATGACCTAAGGGTATTAATGAAAAATCAATTACGCTCAGAAAATTGGGTAACGACTAAATTACACAGTATTACTGTTATTGTTTTACACTTATTGCAAGCATATCAATTTATCTTAAAGGATATTGCATGCACAGACATTTACCAGGATTCCTTTTGGGAGAGTTCCAATAAACTGAATCAAAAGTTTTTGAGTTTCCTTGAATCACAACTAACAAAGGAGAACTTTGTATTGAGATTAAGCCAAATAAAACTTCAAACAGACTTACATTGAAATTTGTTTTTTAACATTATTTCATTTTTTAGTACCACATCAAAATTTGATTACTAATATACATGTTGTAAAATATTGTCTATCTCAGAAAATTAAAAGTTAATGTATTTCCAAGAATAATATTTGTTTATAAAAATATGGAGTTTAAACCAAAGTGTAAAACAATTTCGTGATCCTAGGGCCTGTAAAAACAGTGAAAGGGTCTGTCCAACAAAGATAAAAAGTTACTGTAGCTTGAACTTCTGTTTCGCAAGTTTGAATGTATTAGAAACCCTTTTCAGACTTGGTCAATGCTGAGGGTAACCTAATAGAACATCTATATAAGTCACTGTGTAATTGAGTGTGAATAATTAACATCAAAGGTTGAGTAGACCCATATATACCTTATGACATTACACTTCATTACACTTCATTACACTTTTTACATAACAATTGGCTAACAATTACCTCCCTTGGCAGTATCCTGTGATGTTAATTATACTGACATAACAGTTTAAAGCTTTGTCAGCTGAACGAAAACTAGATGCAAAACTTTAATGTTCAATCTTTAAGTTTAATTTAAAACTAAATCTACATGTATAAGGAATCAAAACGAAAACCTGAAGATAAATAAGACAGAAATATTTGAACTTTTTTTAGATATCTTCTATTTGTGAAATTGTGTTAACGACTCATTAAGCTAACTATGTGAGGAACAAGTGGCCACTGGTCTACCAATGAAGTCAGGTGTTTCTAACTAAAAATCTATACTGAGAAGCTAATAAACAACGCCTGGTTCTATATCAATATGAATATGTCTCCTGCACAATCAATAAAAGTTTCCTGTCAGTCAAGTATCCTATATTTGATTTCTAAATACCCATGAAGCAGTATTTTGTACCACTTTGTCGTTGCATATTTCTGTTCTATTATTGATAAATACGTTAACTGCCTAGCTAGAGATTGACGTTGGTGTGACGGCACATTCCACAGAGATCAATACACCATACATATGTTAATGAATTTAAAAGCAAACAAAGATATATTCAGTTGAAATTGGGACACATTTTACCTGTCACACCTATAAAAGCTCTACCTGTTTTCATGTCTAAAATAAGCTTAACTTTCCCAATTTTTACAACGAAAACACCTAAAGGATCACTCAAAATTCTGAGAGATCTTTGTTTAAATAATAAACTTTAAATGTATTCCAACATATTTCCTCTGAAATTGGGTTGTTATTATGTTAAGTAAATACAACAGATATTTTCTAACATTTAAGTTCTGACTAACAAGACTTGGAACACTTGTGGGCAGGTGAGACGGGGTAAGGCTGACGAGCCCAGACATGCCATGGGTCTAGGTAATTCCTACCTATAATTCAAGCCTATAAATCCATTTACAGATATTAGGGTGATTGTATGTTTATGACCTAAAGTGCAGTTTGGCACACACAGACAAATTTATCCTCAACCAAACCATTCACAATGTTGTTTGTATGAATACGTTTGGGACACTGAATATCTTTATAGTCAACTTTAATGCTCTGAAGAATCACAGATGTATGTGGTATGCATACTATTAAAAAACCTCCTATGAATTTCAAGAATTTTGATTATCAATGTAAATAAAAGTAATCCACAAAATCATAAATGAGATAATCAAGTCATTTTTCCATCTATGCTTCCACATTAAACATTCATTAAACAAAAGAAAAGTTTAATATTTCACATGATGTGTTACATGGTTTCCAGGATAAAGGTTTAACATTAGTGATCTATGAGACTAAATTATCATTGCTCAAATGACTTTGCCCACAGCTCTATTAAAATGCTGATCTAAGATATTTCATGACATATCTATGTATCTATTTTTAATGTGTACACCTTTTTTTATTTTTTTTAACCAACCTTTCCTGACATCCATTTTAAGAGTAATATATCTTGCTATTAAAAGCAGTTCATTTCAAATCACAAAAAGCAACTGTTGTAATTTAAGAAAACATGATTTTAACCAAACCATGACATTAACCAGTGTGACATTAAGTGGAATATACTGTATCAGATATATTACTATATTTAAATAGCTTGTATGCTACATGTCAAGTAGTGAAGACATCAACCTGTCATAAATGTAAGAAATTAAGATTCACTGGGTTTAAATCTACATTTTATGTCTAACATTAACACCAAGCTATTCATACTGGCTGTAAATTTTGATGGCTATCATGGATATGAGAACAGTTTTCTTTTATGATAGTTTAATGTAAAGTAATAAATGACTAGTATTGTATGGCAGGTATATAAGGCAAGGTTTGTCTACTTTTTTCATCCATGAGAAGTCAGCACCGCCTACTGCAGGAAACAGCCTCTAGGGTGTCCACCCCTCTACCTCAGCTATGTCGAGATTTAGTCAGATGTAAAATCAGTCAGATTATTGGGGAACCTGAGGATTTTGGGATCTTCTACCTAAGCAAACTGACTGGACTTTCTGAATTCCATCGATAAATGTCGCGTGACATTTTACTTTGCTACAAAGTTACCCTGGCATATTGATTTGTATGTACATTAACTTTTTCACCCCTGAAGACACATTTGAACTCTTCCAATTCAAAGGTTGGAATAGTTCATTATGCAATTTCGAGGGTGAATGAGTTAGTGGTAGATCTCGACATACATATGCATTGTCATATTACTAGAATGTATATAATCCAAGTCCTGGAAACTTCATCCGATGAAGGCTAAAATCTCAGATCCCAAGATTCTCGAATGTTGACATGCAGCAAAATAAAGTTTCCCCTGTATTTGAGTAATACAGTCATATACATGTACCAGCAAACACATTGAAGACTTTTTTAGTGTAAAGCGATCAATATTTTAGAAAGGATTATTGTACTAAATCTAAAAATATTCAATGATAATAAACCTCATGAAGTTACCCCATTATAAATACTCCAGTATGATCCATTTTTGTGTGTTACAGGGCTGATCACATGTCATAATAAGTGAAGAAGTGTCAACTTTCAGTACTTACCAACAGACATTGGACTGGCGTATCCTAGTGACCCCTGGAACGGAGACGGGGATTTCACCCCTCGGTTGAGCTGCATGACCTGCGGTTGTTGTAATGACTGCATTGACCCCGTGGTGGCCTGACTCGGGGTCGGTGAGTTTGAGTGCAAGGTGACCCTTGCTCCCAGGCGTAACTGGTCGATAGTGAGCTCAGCACTGGCATACTTAGACAAAAGTTTGTCATAGTCCTTTTGAAGTTGTTGAACAAGTTCTGTTGCTTGCTTTCTCTTATGGAATTCCTGATTTAGTTTTGATGAAAGCTCATTTTTCGATTTGTCGGAGGTAGAATTTACAGCGTCACCTTCATGTTCATCTAGCTGTATTCGTGACAGGTCTGACACTGACATGTGTTTGGGTTTAATTGGACCCGTTTTGGCAGCAATGTTGGTGGTACTCTTACTTTTGACTCGGTAAGACTGACTTACCTCATTAGCATTGGGTTTTGGTAGAAGACGTTTTGGCATTTTGTCTGGTGATGACTTTTCTGCAGATCTGACAGGCTGAAGTTCAGAGTCATGGAAGAAGCTTTCCTGTGACCTGGCTTTTGATAGTGATGCGTTGTCTTCCCTGGAAGTATTATGTGATGACCTTTGCCTTGACCTTGCTGACAATGTTTCAGATGCTGCTGATCTCTGACTTGCAGAAGAATCTGGTCTGGTGATTTCTGATTGGCTAGTGTTTCGCGGTGTCAGTGACCCTGGCCGAGCCTCGTGGTGAGACTCGGAGAACACTCCAGTGGATACAGGGGTTAGAGAACCATCCCTACTGGTACGAGACGCATATGAAGTGTTACTCAAGAAAGAATCATTATTGTCAAATGATCTTTCCCCATGTGACCCAGGGCGTCTTGGTAACTGATTAGTTTGATCCAGAGGTCCATTAGAACGATTGCTCACAAAAGAATCATTGTGATCAAATGACCTGTCACTTCCTCGAGAGTTTGGTCTCCTTCGTAAATGACCTTTCTTATCATGTGGTATGTTAGCACGATTTCCGTCATGACTCTGACGACTACCTGACCTACTGCCGATACTTGGTGTCAACATAGATGGTGTATCTCTGTCGTCACCGAAGGCACGTCGTTTGGCCGGCTTTGGGGCATCTGATATCCTACTAGTTATATTGAATATCTCATCATCATCTCCTGTCCGCTGTGACTCCTCAAAATCTATACTATCCGCATCCCTCACACCGAAATCTAACTCCTGGTCTGGGTCACTCACTCTCTCATTGTAGTATTTCAATGCCTCCTCTGGAGATATCTCGGGAAAAGATCGACTACTTATCGTCCGCGCAGAACCTGCTGTGTTTGGTCTTGTGTGAGTTTGTCGTTCTTCAGGTGGTTCATATTCTTGGCGGTCGTCCTCCCTGTCATCATGAAACCCACCAATACCTGGACTTCTAATGGAATTTTTCCTCAGTAGCTTATCAAAAGAATTGTCGGGTTCTGGAGAATAGTCTATATCTTCCCTGGACACATGATCTTCTAATATCTCAAACTCATCCAGGGAAGCCAAAGGTTCGGCGAGTTCAGCACCATCAATTAAAACACCTAGTTCCTCCAACTGTTTATAATAATCAGAATCAAATAATTCTTTATTGCCTGAATCTGTTGTACTTTTGAAATTATCGTTGGTATCGTCAAACGTCAAAGAGTGATCAAAACTGCTCCTGCTACTGAGCCCACTCTGTATGTCACGTTGGAGTTTACCGGCTGGTGAGTGAATATGACCATTATCATAACCAGTATCTCTGTCGAAGCTGTTTCTAAACGCATCCCCCTCAAAGCTGAGGTCATCCTTTGATGCCTCTAGATCACTGATGTTAACACGGCTGTCCTCTAACGCCTCATAGCTGGGGTAAGACTGGAGGTCAAACTGACGGATAGTGGAGGTGCTGCCACCAGACTGCTTATCTCCCCCTAGTCCTGAATCTGTCCAGTGGGTGGTAGAACTGCGGGAGGTGTATTTGCTTTGAGCATCAAAATCGTCTCTCACTATTCCATCGTCATCAATAAGTATACCTCCAGCTGAAACGACAAAATGCAAATTTGTTAGAAAATAAGTACACTGATTTGTTTACTGGCGTCATTGAATGTGTTTGTTCATGATTAAAGGTATTCAGGTCTATAGCCATATTAATCACTAAATTATTAAGCTTTCATGCAATCATCTTTCAATGCAAAATCATAAATTCTATCCTACTGTTCATGAAATTTGAACTCCTTTTAATTTTTCTACCCTCAATTATTTGATATAAGACTCCACCATCAATAGGCCTCATTCTGTACCTCAACCTTCAGGAACTAAATTACGAAGGTTTGTGTAGGAAGCAGGTCCTGGTTTACCTTAGAATAATCGTGGTTAAGTTCATGTTACACTTAAGAACACTTTTCCAATAAAAAAGTATATACACATATACATAATTTGGATAGAAATTCTGTCAGGTGTAAACTTCAGACTATGCCAAGTGGTTATTAAATATTTCTTTTTGTACTTCGATTCATTTGAGAAATCAAAGCAATATAAATTATATTTTTTTTACTCACATGCCCACAATTTGCAGATAAGAATACAAATATTTCAATACATGTAGTGCTTCCTACATAGCAGGGAGTCAATGTGAGTATCTAACAGGCAGTCCATGTGAGTATCTTATAGATGGTCAATAATTATAAACCTTCATTACTCATCATCTGGCATGATTTTAGCTCCCCATAGATTGAATTGCCAGCATGGGTTTTAAAATCTTTCTGACTGTCAACAGAGCAACATAATCAACAGTTTGGATTAATTATTTACAACTAAAACAGAAGTGCATTCAACAAACTCAGAATGCAGTTTGTCTCTGGGGAGAAGACTTTGCCCCTTCTCCATGGTGATGTGATACACACGACTGCTGTGCCCATTAAATTACAATATAGACAGCAAGAAGAGTTAACAGCCCCTGACTTCAACACAGATAAATAATTAAATCTTCCTCCACAGAACGTTTTAATAATATGTTGATGACAGCAATACCATCTCACTTCAGTATGGATTGTACACAGGCCATTGCACCTCTCAGTAGGAAGGACATAGTCATGTAGGCCATCGCAGGATGGATTGTACACAGGCCATTGCACCTCTCAGTAGGAAGGACATAGTCATGTAGGCCACTTCAGCATGGATTGTACACAGGCCATTGCATCTTTCAGTAGGAAGGACATAGTCATGTAGGCCACATCAGCATGGATTATACACAGGCCATTGCACCTCTCAGTAGGAAGGACATAGTCATGTAGGCCACTACAGCGTGGATTGTACACAGGCCATTGCACCTCTCAGTAGGAAGGACATAGTCATATAGGCCACCGCAGGATGGATTGTACACAGGCCATTGCATCTGTCAGTAGGAAGGACATAGTCATGTAGGCCATCGCAGGATGGATTGTACACAGGCCATTGCCCCTCTCAGTAGGAAGGACATAGTCATGTAGGCCACTACAGCATGGATTGTACACAGGCCATTGCACCTCTCAGTAGGAAGGACATAGTCATATAGGCCATCGCAGGATGGATTGTACACAGGCCATTGCATCTCTCAGTAGGAAGGACATAGTCATGTAGGCCATTTCAGGATGGATTGTACACAGGCCATTGCACCTCTCAGTAGGAAGGACATAGTCATGAAGGCCATCGCAGGATGGATTGTACACAGGCCATTGCATCTCTCAGTAGGAAGGACATAGTCATGTAGGCCACCGCAGGATGGATTGTACACAGGCCATTGCATCTCTCAGTAGGAAGGACATAGTCATGTAGGCCATCGCAGGATAGATTGTCCACAGGCCAGTGCACCTCTCAGTAGGAAGGACATAGTCATGTAGGCCATTTCAGGATGGATTGTACACAGGCCATTGCACCTCTCAGTAGGAAGGACATAGTCATATAGGCCATCGCAGGATGGATTGTACACAGGCCATTGCGCCTCTCAGTAGGAAGGACATAGTCATGTAGGCCACTACAGCGTGGATTGTACACAGGCCATTGCACCTGTCAGTAGGAAGGACATAGTCATGAAGGCCACTTCAGCATGGACTTTACACAGGCCATTGCACCTCTCAGTAGGAAGGACATAGTCATATAGGCCACCGCAGGATGGATTGTACACAGGCCATTGCATCTCTCAGTAGGAAGGACATAGTCATGTAGGCCATTTCAGGATGGATTGTACACAGGCCATTGCACCTCTCAGTAGGAAGGACATAGTCATGTAGGCCACTTCAGCATGGATTGTACACAGGTCATTGCACCGCTCAGTAGGAAGGACATAGTCATGTAGGCCATCGCAGGATAGATTGTCCACAGGCCAGTGCACCTCTCAGTAGGAAGGACATAGTCATGTAGGCCACCGCAGGATGGATTGTACACAGGCCATTGCACCTGTCAGTAGGAAGGACATAGTCATGAAGGCCACTTCAGCATGGACTTTACACAGGCCATTGCACCTCTCAGTAGGAAGGACATAGTCATGTAGGCCATTTCAGGATGGATTGTACACAGGCCATTGCACCTCTAAATAGGAAGGACATAGTCATGTAGGCCACTTCAGCATGGATTGTACACAGGCCATTGCACCTCTCAGTAGGAAGGACATAGTCATGTAGGCCACCGCAGGATGGATTGTACACAGGCCATTGCACCTCTCAGTAGGAAGGACATAGTCATGAAGGCCATAGCAGGATGGATTGTACACAGGCCATTGCACCTCTAAATAGGAAGGACATAGTCATGTAGGCCACTTCAGCATGGATTGTACACAGGCCATTGCATCTTTCAGTAGGAAGGACATAGTCATGTAGGCCATCGCAGGATGCTGGCATGGACTAACTTTTGCATATTGTTAATCACAATATCTGTAAGGGGAGATAATCACCAATTCAAAATTTCCAGGGAATAGTTATTTAGGACATTAATGCAAATACAGTGGAGCTTTCATAATCAAGCTAATTTTGTTCTCAGCAACAAAGTCACTTTGCCATGACAACCAGATCAGTGCTGACTGTATAATATCCAGACAACCAGATATATGAGTGGTTGGATAGTAGAACATCCTGATAAATGGAGGATGGATAGTGGGACAACTAGATTATTGGTGACTTTGCACAGGTGTTAACCTCTGAAACCTCCAATGACGGAGAGCTCGCTCATTCCTCATTTAAAATGAGGGAGAAAGTGTTGAAACGCGACTGAAACTGGTTTGCTCAATTCATTTTTATGTATCAAAATAACTCCAAAAAGCATTCATTTGATTCAGAAACACCTGCTATGACCTTTGCACACACCCTGCAGTAACTAGGAGATCATTTGACCACCGGATGTAGATTTTGACTTTGTATGAGTTTGGACTTAAATGAGGGAGTTTCGTGGGAGATTGGTAATTTTTCGTCAAAATGAGGGAATCACCCTCCTAATGAGCAATATGTTGACAGCTATGACTTTGATTTTGAAATTCCAAATTGGTGATCAATAGAATAAGGCTATACTGTATATCATGTTATTGTTGATTTTACAGATTTGAATCCTAGTGAAAGAGTTGTTGAAACACAATTGCAAAAATAGGTTTACACAAAAACTTTTGCTCTGTCCCCATAGGTACTACAGTACATATTACTACAGTACTACTACAGTACATATTACTGCAGTACATATTACTACAGTACTATTACAGTACATATTACTACAGTACATATTACTAGTACATATTACTACAGTACATAATACAGTACATATTACTACAGTAATACTACAGTACATATTACTACAGCACATATTACTATAGTACATATTACTACAGTACAAATTACTACAGTACACATTTCTACAGTATATATTGCTATACAGTACATATTACTACAGTAATACTACAGTACATATTACCACAGTACATATTACAGTACATATTACTACAGTAATACTACAGTACATATTACTACAGCACATATTACTATAGTACATATTACTACAGTACACATTACTACAGTACACATTTCTACAGTATATATTGCTATACAGTACATATTACTACAGTACTGCTACAGTACATATTACTACAGTACTCATTACTACAGTACACATTTCTACAGTACATATTACCATACAGTACATATTACTACAGTAATACTACAGTACATATTACCACAGTACATATTACAGTACATATTACTACAGTACTATTACAGTACATATTACTAAAGTACATATTACTAGTACATATTACTACAGTACTACTACAGTACATATTACTACAGCACATATTACTAGTACATAAAACTACAGTACATATTACTACAGTACATATTACTACAGTACTACTACAGTACATATTACTACAGTACATATTACAGTACATATTACTACAGTACACATTACTACAGTACACATTTCTACAGTACATATTACTACAGTACATATTACTACAGTACATATTACAGTACATATTACTACAGTACACATTACTACAGTACATATTACTATAGTACATATTACTACAGTACATATTACTATACAGTACATATTATTACAGTACATATTACTACAGTACATATTAGTACATATTACTATACAGTACATATTACTACAGTACATATTACTACAGTACACATTTCTACAGTACATATTACTATACAGTACATATTACTACAGTACATATTGGTTCCATTATCAGTGCTCTCCTTATACACAAGTGACTCACAAAAACATTTTGTCAAAGAATTATCATTATAAGTTTTTTTCAATTACCAGAACAAGCTAAGATAAAAAAAAATAGAAAACAAACTAATATATATTTATTGGATATATGTTACACTTTCAGGGGTTTCTTCTAACCCATTTATAGTACAGGTATAATAAATGTATAGTTTATCACTGATTAAACCCACCAGAATTTACCCTGTGATCCAATAGTGCCCATTAGCTTACAGTATTGGTATTCCATGCTATATAAGGTATTTGATTAAATATAGACCAAATATCTGGGCAAATCTCCCTTTACCATATATAAACAGCCAGGGTCAATGATAATCCACAGGGACAGGAGTAAGGCCGATATCTGACATATTTACCATATATTGGTAACACTATAGCAAAACAAGTACAGTAGTATAATTTACAGTACTGTATAATGACTAGTAAAAGTGGCATAAACATATAATGTACCATAGATATCTAGTAATTAACTATGCTCCAATACTCTGGAGACTAAAAGAAAAAGTGTGTATCAAATTTTTAGTTGTAAAATTAAAACATATAATTTAATAGGAAACCCTATGTACAAATACCAAACTGCGTACATAAGTTCAGAGTGGCCGTGGTGCCCAAATGGTAAAGGTGACCATTAGCAATCACAAACCCCCTTACCACTGAGTCGCAGGTTTGAGACCTAACTGGAGCAGTCGCCAGGCACTGGCCGCAGGTTGGTGGTTTTTCTTGGGCACTCTGGTTTTACCCCCCACCACCACCACCACCACCAAAAGATGGCATATCATAAAATGACCATAGTTGTTAATAGGATGTCAAACACAGACAAACCAAACGTGACATGTCCAGATCAGGATTCGAACCATAGACCTCCAAACTCTAGATGGATACACTAACAAAATGAGATACCAGGTCTCCGACAGTCAGCCAGTCTAGTCCCTTAATCAAGGAAGATATTGAAGTGTAACAGAAGATGGAAATTGCAACTTGGCCAAACCGGGATTTTCACCCAAGACCTCTGAACTCTACCCAGACTTTCTAACCAAATGAGCTACATGGTCACCAGCTGTCACCAAGTTCAGTATCTCTACAAAGAAATCATGGTGTGGTTTGGTGTTTTATGACCTATTAACAGCTACGGTCATTTAAAGACATGCCACGTTTTGGTGGTGGAAGAAAGTCAAAGTTCCCAGAGAAAAATTACCGACCTCTGGCCAGTATCTGGCAACTGCCCCATGGACATAGGTCTTGAACTGCGACCCAGTGGTGAAGGACTGGTGATCCAGATGCTTAGATGAGAAATCATGGTAGAAATAGAGGTTTGTGTATTTGATTTGAAGACTCTAAAGAGCAGAACAAACTGCAAGCCCAATCATCTGACACTGCATCAAAACAAAATGCATCACATGAAATATGTGCTATAATAAATTATAACAAATGAGTCTGTTCATCCCACATTTTATGATTCAGAAATTCTAAACTCTACCTTACTTACCTTTACAGTGACCTGTGCCCTGCCTTCCTAACTCACCTGTTCATGTACATATACTCCAAGTTTACTTTGATGAGTTACCTCTACAAGTGCCTCTAACATTATAAAGCCTACAAACCATTTCTGTCCAGTTTTATGGCATCTTATATTATATATAACATGATAACTAAGAAGTGGTGTATATCACACTGTGCACACATATTTGGTTCTACCTCTAACAGATGTCAACACGTATCTATAGCAGATGGAGCGATAAATTTTGGATGACATTTCACCAATACCATATATACAGGATGGCATATGTGTACCACAGGATCACTTAGTTGAAGAGAAAGATTGGAACTGTTTTATATCACCAACAAATCTTCACTTACATTATAATTAAATTTTCAAATGTAAATCTCTAACATAAAATTGATCTTATCTTTTCCCTGTTGGAATAAATTGCCAGTGTGACTGGTACACAGTAGGCACTACCTGTAAACACTCTTTGTACAGTAAATACTTATTTTAAGAAATCTTAGGCCAAATAAAATATGTTGCTTGTTTCTGTTACCCTACTTACCCTAAACTTTTTCAGCAATTTTCAAGAAAAGCACTGTTAAGGTGAAGAATACCCACCTACATAAACCTTATAAAAATAGAAAATAAAATTTGTTGCCTACATACCTTAATTTTTTCAACCATGTAACAGGACACAAACATTGTTTTTACTTGGCCTAATGTTGAGTGATTTGAATTAATAGTAGCTTACTGATTTCTGATACAATACATGTATAGTGTAATACATTTTGTATTTCTACAAGGAGTACCCCAGTATAATATGTACATTATAACCAGACATTTAAAAAAACATTTTTAAAAATCTGATTATGTTTTCTAAAGATCAATTACCAATTAGGCATTATTCAATTTAAAAATATGTGAAAATATTTCTTTAAAATGAAATAAATGGCTATAAAATATATAAAGAGTTCACTAGCTACTCAATCTACCAGTACACAACTTTACATGTAACACTTGCAGAGAAAAACTATATTAGATATTCTTCAAGATATTAATTGTCAATTTCAAATATATTTTTCTCAGTTTGCCGAACATTGGCTAATAGACCGACATATCTTACCTCCTTTACAGGACTACAGCACACATTACGTACCCTAAACAGACACTTCCACCCGAACACAGTAACGAGTACATTAGTAACGAATAGAAACCAGAACAGGTCTCCAGTCCACTGACTTATCTTGAAGTAAGTACTTCATTCAAACACTGAATAGATGAACATGCAACAGGCCTTGGGGTGAGATCTGGACTGGAATCTCTGACAGAACAAACGTAGAGGACCTGACAAGCGTTAAAGACAACGGCTCACACTTATGTGTGGATAGTAGCTTCAATAGTTGATCATGATCAATCCTGTTTAGATTTTTTTAATCTCATTGATTCTCATTGACCCTGTGAGAAACAGGTTAGTTGGTTAGCTTGAGACACTATCAAACAAACTTTCGCTAAATATTGAAATACATTAACTCAGTAAGATCTGTAGTTCAAACATTGTAGATAGAATGCATATTTAGATTCAACAAAACCGATTTTCCGAAATTATTAATGCATGCAATTAGACAAGGAAGCTAACCAATCACTGTAAAGCAGTCTAGGAAGCTTCGGCCTCTCAGAGAAAGGATTTTATTATATCAGTGTGAAAACCAGCCAGATATAAATTCAGTCACACTCCATATAAAATGGCCACAATTCAATAAACAGTTCTAGTCCACATAAAAACATTTCAAGTACAAAGTAAACATTGAAACACTCTAACACAATGCCGCAATGGCAGAAATACACACTGGGATAAAGGTTGTGTCAGCACTTATTCTAATTTGGTAAACAAATATATATGAACAACCAAACTGACTTACAGAACTGTAGACATCATGATCAGGTGCATTCAAGGCACAAAGGGTCGTTATGTGCAGTTCATGTTAACCTCACTGAAGGAGGACAAAGCTATCTGCAATGCTTCAGTCAATTAAAGACAGGATTCTTTCTGTGGATTTTTTCATGATTTGACTATTCAAACAATTCCTACTGTGCTTTAGCATATACTGAGATTTTCATTTCCGACAGTTTAAATAAATATTTACCGGAGTCAAACACAAATGTGAAAATCTTTTTGGAATTTAGATGCCTGAAACTTAAAATGTCCAAATAACTTTGTTTTCTTTCCAATATGACCCAGAGGTCACTTCCAATATATACCACTAAATGTATACAGCATGCTCAATCTGTGAACAAAAATTACTTTTCTAGTTTAATTTTTGAAAAAAAAAGTTTATTTGTTAAATATTTTAATAAAATGTACTGAAACATCAAATTAAGGTAACACAGTTGTTATCTATAGTAGATGTATATGTAATATAACTATGGTGATGTATAATGTATCAATTGTAGTATCTTCCAACAAGTCCTGACTCTGTACCTGCTAATGTCAGCCCGTGTAACAGTCCTGTCAGACTGTTTCCTGCCTACCCGCAGTACTTATATAAGTATAATAGTCTGATATTGATTAGTATTAATGCGTTAGTCCCCACGCCTATGTCCATACAGACTAACTAAAACCACATAGTAATAAACTAATAACAACACTGTATTGATTCATATTTAAATTATCCAATGTAAACGTAGCAGTGCTAGACATTTTTACACCGGCCTTCATATGATCCGTCATAAAAGTTTTTAATTTTACAAATGAATTAGTGAAATTGTTCAAATAATTAATCACAGCAATGTATATCTTACCTGCATTTTGTGAAACAATAAGAATTGACAGCCTAAATATTACAAATATACCTGTACGTATATAGACTATCTCAATGAATTCTTACACTTATGACATTAGTAGGAAAATAACATGGTGTAGGTACTTACAGGAAGCTGAGTCGCGAAGGATTCCATCATCATCAAGGTCAAAATCATCACTGTATCCAAGGAACGCCATGGTTACGGTGTCATTAGTGGAGTCAGCAGATTATCATCACTGGATATTGACTGGTCAGCATTTAATCTCTATCATATCCTGTCCCCAGTGACCATTGGTCATTCTGTTATCTGTAATGGAAAATACTGATATAGTCATGAACAATTAATAAATGCCAGTTTCTGTAATTGTCATAGATTAAGGTAAATATCCTTAAAGTTTGATAAATGTTTCAGTGTTCATCACACGATGAAGTAAACATCCTTCAATTTTGATGAACATTTTTCTCGCAATGTTTGTCAATGACTTCCGAAATGAAAAATTAATTGAATATTTTATAAGTACTTTGCACACTGATAAGTGTATTTAAAATTTTAATTGGCATCTTTATATGTTACTTTAGGATAAGTAGTCCATACAAGCTTAATTAGGCTACAGACAGACACCCAGCTGATTACAGTACACAAGCTTAGTTAGGCTACAGACAGACACCCAGCTGATTACAGTATACAAGCTTAATAAGGCTACAACCAGACACCCAGCTGATTACAGTATACAAGCTTAGTTAGGCTACAGACAGACACCCAGCTGATTACACTTACTGTATACAAGCTTAGTTAGGCTACAGACAGACACCCAGCTGATTTCAGTATACAAGGTACCTCTAACTTTGTTGCTAGAAATATATAGTAAAGTTGACTTTGGACAAAATCTTTCCAAAAATTCAATGGATCACCAACAATGTATTAACAGTATGATACAATCATGATTATATAATCAAAATGTCATTTAACAAAATAGCAATACTTCACTATATATGGGTTGTATGGCAATGTACAGTAATATTACATGATTAAGACCATCTACGGTCCCATCTTTTAGAGTGGAAGTCACCAGAAACTAACCTCACCATTTAGATGGCATGTTTCAGATCCCATAATGAAATATTAGCATGGATGGAAAATGACTAGCATGTATACTAGAATACATGACGCTGGTAATAGTATATATCTTGCAGAGACAGTGACAGAGACTCAGATGACCACACACATGTGTGTCTCTCAGTCTACACTATAAATATTCAAATGTAACTATGTAAATTCTATAGATAATGCAAAACGTTTTTGTCGACCAGATCAATAATATGAAGACTGAAGGACAACACACAGAGATGTTCAGCAAGAAGCTAGGATCTCTGGCTTTGCATGTCTGATATTGCTAACAAAGGTCAAGTATTCGTCATGGCCAAGCAGCAGTAGCTAAGTGATGTGGTACATCGTGTGACCATCAGCAGTAGTGATGTGGTACATCGTGTGACCATCAGCGGCCTCATCTAAACAATGTCACACAGTACACTTATAGAATCAGACTCCTTATAAAGACTAGCACCAAACTTAACATCAACTTTGATCTACAGGAAATGACTATTACCAAATCTCAGCCGGTTATACCACTTGTATACCAACCTGAACAATATACAAAAGCTACAGTCTTAAGCTTGGTGTCATAGAATTTGAAGAATTAGCAGCTTTGATCTCTCAGCATAAACCTTGTATAAGTAGTGTATCTATAAACTTAAGATATCCTATTGGAATATAGGTAAATCCAAGTAATATTCCCATCCAAAAACTAAAACATTTGCAAAATGAATATGACTGGTTCAGTAGGTGATTCATGTGTACCAGTAGGTGGGTCCTGTAGACCTGCCCAGGTAAACCCTTCGCTCTATCTGAACCTGTCATTGAAATACACACTTCCCAATATCCTACTGGCATCAGTCCAGTAGTATTGTTCTTGCTAGTGTGGAAATGTAGGGTTATATTCCAGCTATGGTTCAATGACATGCTACCTAATTATAGAGGAATTGGTCGGTTATTCAGTGACAGGAGGTAGAGGTATCAAATAGCTTAACCGTACACAAAGATTTACATTTAGTTTGCATTTACCAGGTAATTTGAAGACTGCAAAAGATAAACACAGCAGAACTTTGCTATGTTGAATTAGCTGGAATTTGGATCATGAAGAAGAACCTTTTGAGACTAAATAGGCATTAACTATATAGAGATGTATTGAAATAAACTACCATGCAACTTAAAAAACAACATTGAATTAAAGGTTTTAAACTATCAAAGTTTCTTATCTATAGATTTCTAGTAACAAATTTAAAATCTCTAGTAAACAAATGTTTATAAATCAATTTAAAATTATTTAAAATATTGCTTTGTTGGACAAGTACAATGATTAGGAAACACTTCCAGAACCTAAAGAAAAATAAATGACAAAAACAAATTAGAAAAAGGTTTCTAGGACTAGGACATACAGCATGCATATGGTTACCACCCTTAACCACATGAAAGCAGAGGTTTCTACAGAAATATCATTGACAACATTCACAAATAAATCTATTTATCTACCCTACAACTACATTATTGGACAGCCCTGTCAGATTCACTTTAGCACACATTCCATAATCCATTTATTTTTTTTATTGATTTCTACCAAAAGAACTCGGAACTATATGCTTCAGAAAGGAATGTTTCATAAATAGGACACCACAGATGTCACAGTGTTAACCTTGGCAAGGAAGATTCAACACCAGACTGAGAAGCTGGCTTCTGAATCACTTTAAAATAAAGCTCTGGCATAACACATGCCCCAACTCACTTGTTATTTTGAATTCAAATTCAACCATAAACAACCCCCTCCCTTTTATCATTTTATGGAAGTTGGTTTTCTAAAATCATTAGAATGTTATTGTTGAGAGTTAAAGAGAGTGGATGTTTCTGAAAATAAATTAATTCTTATGTTCTGTGCATCCCTGAAGACACAAAATTAGCTATTCGATTGGTTTCAGGTCATAAAAACTGACCAATTGCTAGGCTGATATCTGTCCTTTGAAGATTACGGAGGAGCGACACCCAGCTTCAAAGCTGGTCAATTTTACTGTTACGCTGTCTCATGATTCTTTTGCTGTACATCAAAGGATCAAACAGGTCTACATGCACTTATATCATCCACAAGGTGGTGCGCACTGGGCTTTGATTTGTCTTGACATATTCCTGGGTACAGAAAACGTAAGTGAACGTAACCCCTGGAATTTCAAGGAAATAGAAACTTTCTGAAAGTGATTCTACTTCTTTCGCCATCAGTTCCTTTTTTATACATCGCCATGGAGGTCACCCAGGTAGATATTTTATACAAAAACGGCTTATAAATACTGTTCAGTAGCACAAAGAAAATGTAATAATGCTTGGAAATTGCTACCTTTGTCAACATTATGAACCAATTATATGTAAATTGCTTTCCCCCTGTTATGAACCCAAAATCTATGGACACATGAAAGTTTTGTAATTATGCAAATGACCTTAAACATAAAAGTACTTTCAAAACAGAGTAATTAGATATTGATAACTTTTCATTTAAATTGAAAAAGGTACTGGATTTCTTCTGTGAACAAATGTTAATCATATACCATTGGTGCCCTTACCTGAGAAAAAAACGAGATTAAAGACGAAGGTCAGATAATTATTACAGTACTTATACTGCCAACAATAACAGAATCACTTCTTACTGTACAGTGTACTTGAAAGACTTTTGTCCAAAATGAAAAAACAAGGATCATTTTCAGACACAGATTATAAAGATTACTGTCAAAGAATGTCATATATAATCAATGCCTGTGATACCACGGACCATATATATTCCAACAGGTACATCAGTTTGACAGGTATTTCAATGTTGGCCTTCATCTAATCTGTAGACATTTTACATATTTTTTCACTTTGGCAGTTATGATTAATTGAACAAGTAACATTTTTTGGAGAGAAAAAAAACCCAATTGCTGCTAGACAGGCACTTTCTTACCAGAACCAAACGACCGTATGTTATGTTATTCATGTTGAGGGTCAAGGCATCACATACAAAACAAACTTACTCTATGTTAAAATGTTAATGTATTATTCATAACTGATGGATATTCTTTAAGGTTCATCAGCACAAAAAAATGTCATTACAGGCCCAATGGTGTGTTTACATTTAACATTTAAAACATGTTCAACATGTGACAGTTCAGGTATAAAGGGCTCAGCATTCTACAGTTGTGGATATTTTTTTTCTCTTTCTACATTACAAATTACTACAAATTCTAACAGATATGCCAATAAGCATTAAGCAGGCTTTTAATAGCTCAAATTTTGTAATCGATGGTTGGTTTGACAAAATTCTTAAATCTATATAATCCATATTACATATGATTAAGTTTGATAACGTTCTGCCAACATTTTTTTTTTAAAAATTGAGCACATCCGTCCTATGACAATATATCGGGATACGTAGTAGAGAGCGTAAGTGAGCGTAAACCCTGGGTATCAATGCATGGATGTTCTTATTAAGCTCCATGTTATAGGTACTATTGAATTATAAGTGTCTGTATGTGTAGGTCCATTAGCATGTCTGCTGACCTGATCAGGACCCTTCCCTCACGAAAAAGCATGCATCCCCCCAGACAAAACTCGATCTCAATGGCCCTCCTCAATCAGTGTCTGGACTTTCAACACAGCTGACCCCTCAATAAAGATTGTCACCGCACCTATCTGGACTGTCCCCACACCTATCTGGATTGTCATCACACCTATCTGGACTGTCACCACACCTTCCTAGATTGTCACCACACCTATCTGGACTGTCACCACACCTTCCTAGATTATCACCACACCTATATGGACTGTCAGCACACCTATCATTTCACCTATATGGACTGTCATCGCACCTATATGGACTGTCATCGCACCTATATGGACTGTCACCACACCTATATGGAGTGTCCTTTCACCTATATGGACTGTCAACCCACCTATATGGACTGTCACCACACCTATATGGAGTGTCATCGCACCTATATGGACTGTCATCGCACCTATATGGACTGTCCTTTTACCTATATGGACTGTCCTTTTACCTATATGGACTGTCACCACACCTATATGGACTGTCACCACACCTATATGGACTGTCAACACACCTATATGGACTGTCACCACACCTATATGGACTGTCACCACACCTATATGGACTGTCATCATACCTATATGGCCGGTCATCACACCTATATGGACTGTCACCACATATATATGGACTGTCACCACACCTATATAGACTGTCATCACACCTATATGGACTGTCATCACACCTATATGGAGTGTCCTTTCACCTATATGGACTGTCACCACATATATATGGACTGTCAACACACCTATATGGACTGTCACCACACCTATATGGAGGGTCACCACACCTATATGGACTGTCATCACACCTATATGGGGTGTCCTTTCACCTATATGGACTGTCATCGCACCTATAAGGAGTGTCCTTTCACCTTTATGGACTGTCATCACACCTATATGGAGTGTCCTTTCATCTATATGGATTGTCACTACTCCTATATGGACTGTCACCACACCTATATGGACTGTCAACACACCTATATGGACTGTCACCACACCTATATGTAGTGTCACCACACCTATATGGACTGTCATCACACCTATATGGGGTGTCCTTTCACCTATATGGACTGTCATCGCACCTATAAGGAGTGTCCTTTCACCTTTATGGACTGTCATCACACCTATATGGAGTGTCCTTTCATCTATATGGATTGTCACTACACCTATATGGACTGTCACCACACCTATATGGAGGGTCATCACACCTATATGGAGGGTCCTTTCACCTACATGGATTTTCACTACACCTATGTAGATTTTGTTTTTAGAGATGTCCAATTATTTCTATTATAAGATAAGATTAACTCCTTTCACCTTTATGGACTGTCATCACACCTATATGGAGTGTCCTTTCATCTATATGGATTGTCACTACTCCTATATGGACTGTCACCACACCTATATGGACTGTCCCCACACCTATATGGACTGTCATCACACCTATATGGGGTGTCCTTTCACCTATATGGACTGTCATCGCACCTATAAGGAGTGTCCTTTCACCTTTATGGACTGTCATCACTCCTATATGGAGTGTCCTTTCACCTATATGGACTGTCACCACATATATATGGACTGTCACCACACCTATATGGACTGTCCTTTCACCTATAAGGATTGTCACTACACCTATATGGACTGTCACCACACCTATATGGAGGGTCACCACACCTATATGGACTGTCATCACACCTATATGGACTGTCACCACACCTATAGGGACTGTCACCACACCTATATGGACTGTCACCACCCCTATATGGACTGTCACCACACCTATATGGACTGTCACAACACCTATATGGACTGTCATCACACCTATATGGAGTGTCCTTTCATCTATATGGATTGTCACTACACCTATATGGACTGTCACAACACCTATATGGACTGTCATCACACCTATATGGACTGTCCTTTCACCTATCTTGACTGTCACTATACCTATGTAGATTTTGTTTTTAGAGATGTCCAATTATTTCTATTATAAGATAAGATTAACTCCTTTCACCTTTATGGACTGTCATCACACCTATATGGAGTGTCCTTTCATCTATATGGATTGTCACTACACCTATATGGACTGTCACAACACCTATATGGACTGTCCTTTCACCTATAAGGACTGTCACTACACCTATATGGACTGTCACCACACCTATATGGAGTGTCCTTTCACCTATATGGATTGTCACTTCCCCTATATGGAGTGTCCTTTCACCTATATAGATTGTCACCACATATATATGGACTGTCACCACACCTATATGGACTGTCCTTTCACCTATCTTGACTGTCACCACACATACATGGACTGTCATCACACCTATATGGACTGTCCTTTCACCTATCTTGACTGTCACTATACCTATGTAGATTTTGTTTTTAGAGATGTCCAATTATTTCTATTATAAGATAAGATTAACATAATAACAAGAACTACCGATGCATGTGCCTGCAGATTTAGGCTTTTCAAAGACACAATAATAAAACATTTGTAATTAATTCCAGTAATTTTTTTGAACATCAAATCACTCTGCCAGTGTAAGCATGCAATTCTATGCAAATTTTCTTCAGTTCCCGGGTGTAAATAGCGTACATTATACATGGAAGTATCATTGATGAAGAGAGGTAAGTGTGTAAAATGAACCAAGAATATATTTACCTGATTAATGGATCTATATTCCAATCACTGTCTGCAACCACACTGATCAATGATATCCGAAGTGTGTAGTGAACGTGCCCAACCACACTGATCAATGATATCCGAAGTGTGTAGTGAACGTGCCCAACCACACTGATCAATGATATCCAAAGTGTGTAGTGAACGTGCCCAATCACATGACTTAATTTGTATAAACATTCACAAACATTACTAGGCTAGTTTTACTATAGCCAACCTTTCGTATATACAAACTCTTGATTTGATACAATGCCAAAAATTTCATTTCACGATTATCAAAATAAACATGCAGGTACGCCTCCTAAAGAGTTCAACAGGCATTTATGGGTATGGCACTTTTGCTATGTTATCAGGTAATAGGAACATACTAAATTGACACATGGGAAATACCTTGACCATGAATACCACATGTGTGAGCTAGGGAGTACTCAGTGCAAAGGTGGCAAACATAGGTTCTGATCTGGTAATAAAAGTTGATAAATATAATCAATTTGAAAATTAAGGTATAAAAATAATCCTCGAATCAGCCAGAATCAGTTTTACTTCCCTGTCAATATATCTACTGTTTTTGTTGTAATATTTGATTGACAACAAGATGAAACAATGTTGTATTGCAACAATGTAAAATTTAAATGATTGTTTCAAATAGTGATGTATAGTCCTTATTAGTAAATGAAATACTATCTCGTAGAAAATTTAATCTGATCTTCCCCTTTCTCTATTGATACAGTGAACAATCCCTTTTCTGACAAAAAAGACATGAACCGTTAGTGGGCACGTAAAGACAAAGCCTTTGTACTAAGTCAGGATTGAAGACACATTGGCAAAAGGGCAAAACAAATGCAAATTAATGTTTTGAAAACAACTACAATAAGTATAATAACAAAATCCTGACTTTTAAAATACCAAAAGCACATGTTTTGAAGGAAAATTGTTAGATGTATCAGATTATCTACAAATCGATTTATTAAAGAGAGAAAAAAGAAATAAAACATATACATGTACTGTAAACATATGAAACTTAAAGCTTAATGGAACTGGAAATTAATAAACTCACAGTAATGTGTATTACTATATTATATGTACAGTATATATATGATATACTTGTAAAACTATATAGGACATGCTGTGGAATTAAAATATCAGCCAAACCTTAAGCAGATATTTAGCATTAGGCCTGTATACATGTGTGTATTACAGGTCTTGTTTTCGTGTATAGGCATGCACAATTGAGACACAGGTAGGGGAATATCTACTGACAATGACACGACCATGGATCTAATACCTACAACAAACACAACCGTCTTATCAAAACGCCAGACATCATTACTTAAATTCCACATGGTGCATTTTTTCCTTACTTATTTTTATAAGAAAACAAATTTTAATTGACAATCGAGTTATAATTAAACTCATGTCGTTTTCTCCGTTAATGTTTAATGCTGTGTTGGCAGTTAATTCGACAATCATTTAATGCTTTTCGAAAGTCGAAATATGAGTCCGAATAAAAAAGCATTCTTGATCTGTAAAACAAAGAATGGATACACAACGTATACCCTAGACAGGTTACCACAGAAACCGCGTCGCTTTCCTAGATACGAGCAAAGATAGCAAGGTGCCCGTCAGTTATATACGGCAAAGTCCGATGCATTTCGAAGAATCGTATGTATACAAATATGAGATAAATAAGAAAAATATAAAAATTGAGATGGAAAATACCTTACCTGTGCACACTATAAGCCTTATATCCATGCAATAAATATTTCATATCAAATATCCGGCTCAAAACACCACTGACAGATGTCTCGAAATGTGTACGAGTCGATTCGCCTCGGTGAACATGTGCGGTTATTATAAAATTAGGAACGCAAATACTGCCTATTAAACGGAGCGAAGGACAGCAATATAACAATTTTAGTTTCCGGGAGGCGATGATGATTCAAGATGCCAGAGGTTTTACTTTATGATTAATTTTTTTAGTTCAGATTTGCCGTTGTCAGATCGTGGTAATGAAGTAACACATTAGCATTCTCCAGATTTATCAGTTACAACACATAAATGATACTTTATTACAAAGGTGCTCAAATTAATTACGTTGATTTATTTAAAGTTATCAAGAAAACATTAACTATTATTACGACAAACATATATATAAAATAACAATAAAATATTATAATATTGAATGTAGCGGGAGATAATCACAGATGATATATTGATAAAAAAAATAGTTAAATCTTATGACCATAAAAATTAATTCAGTAATATCATTCAAATCCCATTCCTACAAAGCTCCCCTTCCACCGCGACATGACACTTTAGGATTAACTGGCCTACATTTAATTGAGGGTAATGACTTGTGTTTGGTGGAAGCAACATTGGTTTTGTAGAAAAATCATATACAAATACTACACATCTTATCCAATTACAAACCTATCAGATCTCCTAAGGATGGAATAACTTACCCAGACCCCAAAACCAAAGCTCATCTCCTGAACCACCAGTTTCACTCAGTATTTACTCAAGAACAGCTATCTAATTTTCCTAACCTTGGTCCCTCCCCATACCAAAGTATGCCAGACATTACTGTTGGTGAGACAGATGTCTTTAAACTTCTATCTGATCTACAGTCTCACACGGTCCTGATGATGTACCGGCGAAAATTCTTGAATGGCAAGGGAAATAACTCCTGCATTAACAAAAATATTTCGATCATCCCTGAACATGAGCACTGTTGCGAGGCAAATATAATCCCTTTATATAAGAAAGTCGATAAACTTCCATCCTGTTTTCCTTAACATCCATATCATGTAAACTCCTCGAACATATCATTCACAGTAGCATCACGAAACACCTAGACAGGAACAATATTCTAACAAATGTTCAACATGGTTTTCGTTCTAAGCACTCTACCGAAACTCAACTTATTTTAACTATTGATGACTTAGCCAGAAACATAGATAAAAACAAACAGACAGATATTGCACTTTTAGATTTCTTAAAGGCCTTTGACAAAGTTCCCCATCAAAGGCTACTATCTAAACTTACTTATTGTGGCATAAATAGCCAAACATGTATTTGGATATATCTCAGTTTTTGAATTCTAGATCCCAGAAAGTCTTGCTAAATGGAACAGAATCGGATAACTGCCTGTCCTCTCGGGGCTCCCTCTCGGGACAGTCCTCGGCCCTCTCCTATTTTTGTGTACATAAATAATATTGTCGACTCAGTTTCATGTAATATAAAACTACATGCTGATGACTGTCTATTATATACACAAATAGACTCTATTGAAGACTGTGCTAAGTTGAACAATGACCTTAAGTCTTTAGCAAAATGGGAAGAAAAGTGGCAAATGAAGTTTATCACCAGTAAATGTTCTATTATTAACGTATCGTAAAAAAGAAACACCATTAATTATATTCATACCCTTCATAATCAGATTTTAGAAAATGTAGATACTAACAAATATCTTGTGTCACTTTCAGTTCAGACCTAACTTGGGGCAAACACATTCAATCAGCGACCAACAAGGCCAATAAGACCTTGGGCTTCCTACCTTCGAAAGAAATCTTTATGTACTAGGAAAGTTAAATCACAGGCATACACTACTCTTGTAAGACCAGTTTTAGAATATGCCTCAACTTGTTGGGACCTCTATTCCATCAACCACATACAACAATTAGACAATGGTCAACGTAGAGCAGTGAGATACACTTTTAATGAGTACAGGTCTGGAGATCCAGGCTGTATTACAACCATGATGAAATCATTAGATTGGGAATCTTTATCACAAAGAAGGGCAAAAGTTAGATTGTCAATGCTATATAAGATCTCGCATAACATCGTTAACATTAACCCATCATCATAGTTGGACATCAGGTGACAGACGAACAAGGGGGGCACATAAAATAAACACAATATCTACCGCAAAAGACGCCTACAAATTCTCTGTTTTCCCATGCAAGAACTATTATCACCTGGAACTCATTACTAATTTTGCATCCTCGTTATGTACATAGTTTTAATATAATACCTAAAAATTACAAAAATATATTCTTTGAAATGCCACCTCCTAGGGTCAATTGCACTCGAACCTTGGAGTTCTAATCCTTGTAATGGAAGAAGAAATATTTTGCTTTTTAGATTACCTAGTATGTTAATTATAATATCCGACAATTAATAAGTCCACAAAGTCCAATTCCTGATAATTTCTTGTCTGAGATGTTTAATATTTTCAGTATGGTATACCAGTATTTAAAGGGACTAATGAAAGAAGTGTTATTTTTTGATAATGCAACATTTCGGCATCTTCTACATTGTTTTAGTTTGCCTTTCATGTCTGCAGTTTCCCAAAATACATGAAAAAATATTAGATATTGCCTTTTGCTTAAGGGATCTTGTTCTGAAAAAATCCTACATCTGAATAATTCTTCGAATTCGTTTTGAAAATAACACTTTTTTTAGTTTCCATACATATACACGGGCAAGCACTTTTAAAAATCCCACGAGCTGTGGATTCTTTGAGCATTTTTTTGTTTAAATCGACAGGAATACTCCTCTCTTTTTATATACCGGAGCTATACCACTTACCGTCATTTTTGATGTATATACCTCAACACATATATTTCCATTAGTTTGAAATGCATCAAAGTTCCCAGAAATATTGGATCGAAATGGATATTTTGTATTGGTTAGTTTCAATTTGGCTTTCGATCAGTTTCCATATCATGGACACATATTTAATTCAACTTTATGGAAAACATGAATCACAGTTAAAATTAAACACAAGTATCGAAATGAAATTTAAACATGATATATAGAGGATAAACAATATAACCAGATATACACTGAAACTTCATTACTAACTATTACATTGATTGCCAGAAACATCTCCGACGTGTAAGAAGTGCCCTTTAAAGATTTTATTGCGCGCTAAAAGTTTCCCTTTTTCTGGTAAGCGCCATGCCCTTTTCAAGTTCTAGCTTGAACACTGCATAAGTGAAAAAGGAAAAGAAGTAGTAAGTGAAACCAGTTTACCAGTTACTGTTGTGATCACCTCATATTACATAATCTTATGTGGTGACGCAATCGGAGATCACATCCGGGATAGCAGGGGGAGAGCCATCGGATGCGTTTTGTGGTTTAATCTCATTACAAGTGGTATAGTATTGCGGTACGGTGTATATGACGTTTCCGAAGAGGATGAGGGTTTCAGTTCCGGATGCAGTCTACTTGTCATGTTGTGGATTAATTTCTTTAAACATAAACAAGCTATAAAATATCCAATTAGTTGTGTGTACCTATTGCATATTTTCTGTAGCCAGACATGTGCAAATCACGCATTTGAAAGTAAACATTATGTATTTTGTACAGTTAGAAAAAATACACAGTTTTAATCTATTTCAAGTATACTAAATTTGATGATGGGTAAATGATATGTTATTCATTTAACATTAATTGTTTCTTTTTCATAATACACTTCCCCATACATTATGTAATATTACAAGACATCGCTCACTAATTAAAAAATCTAGCATAACGTTTTAAAATGAACACAAATTACTTTTTTATAGACTTTTCGTAAGTGAAACGCGCAATTATGACCGACACATGTTGTAATTTATATATTACGTCATCAATTAACGCTCTGTAATGTTAGGTAAAACTTGTACCAGAATGTTTAAGAATTCTAATTGAATTTGTCAATTTTCTGAGGATGTGTTTTAATTATTTCAATGTTGCTAAATTGAGTGAGGCAATATTGTATCTGAGAATGGGACACAATACGAATAAAATAACTGGGAGAGGGGCGTAAATAGTTATTTCTCCGCTTATCGCCTAATTGATGGCACATTGGTTCAGGGGAAACAACTCTTATCAACTATGCATACTTGGGGCGCATTTTGATACTTCCTAATAATACGTGACTTCCGTTACCTATTGATATGAGAAAACAATTTGCAGACTTTATATTGTAATGTATTATTTAAAATAATAAATAGGCCTAACTTAGAGATCTGATTTTGACAGTTTTTATTGGAAATTTAACGTAGTAATGTATATAGTCTATAGCTTCCAACTAGGACTTTGATTTTGTACGTAAAACATTTTCATTATATTTCCACGGAATTAGGTTATTGTTATCTAAGTCCGTGATATTTCTAACAAGTTAACATGGCCCAGGGAGAATATTTCCATTAGGTATTATCACGGTCTTATATTTATTATTTAGATTATATCCAATTAACGTTATGTGGCATTAGAAATTAGAATCTATTTATTTTGGGTGCATGTCGAATTTGCCTGCACTAACGTTAATCTTTGTTTATTTCTGTATTTCTAAATAAAAGATACTATTTAGTGTCGTTATACTGTATGTCTTATTATTTCATAATAGTGTATTTCGTAACACACTTGGTATAAGATGTGTAACTCGGTGAGGCTGACGGGTGTCACATGACTTAATTGCGAAATGTATAGTATGGTTATTGACCAATCATCGTAGAGCTACACATTAACCCCGAATCCAAATAAACACAGAACTGAGGAGGAAAGTGGGCTGGTCTCCAATATTGGAGATTTCGCTTAAAAATGGGGTTTGAAACATGTGGTCCGAACGAAGTGATGGTTGTTTCGGGTGAGTAGAATGTGTTTCACAATAAGATGCCGTATTAAATTCCATTGCATGCAAGATCGCGGTCAAATTCTTGTCCCAGATCCTAACACTGAACTCCGGAAGATTGATCTTCCAAAAGTATAAATTATCATAAATATCTGTCATATTTCAAGCAATCATTTACACTAGGATCCTTTCTTATGCATTGCCTGAATTATTATCATATAAGTGTGAGAATCGTTTTGCATTAATACCCCAAAAATGCGTTGATAAACGAAAACATGAAAGTGCATCTCCGGCCGGATGTTTGCAACAAATGGCTGCAGCTAACCCCATGGGACTGGATAATGTTTGCATGGAGTTATGTTGGTGAACGTACAATCGACTGCATTCCAAATAATGTCGGCTATCATTCCACGAACAGCTTTTTGTTTATCGAAAGTTCAAGTGTTTAGAACTAGTTCAATGTTTGTGTTTAATTCGAAACAAGATCACCCAAGATAGTCGTAAACACATTCACTCATGCGTGAAATAAATTGTTTGGGGAGTTGGCTTCGGCCATGCCTAACATTCCTTATAATGTATCTCCTTACACATGTGTTGGTTAGAACGTAAAGCATTTGACCTGTCATATTCCGATTGCAATCTCAAAGGGTTAATAATTTTTGTTTAAAAATCTTCCTAGAAATAAATGTCAATTGTGTCTTAATTTAGATTTTTTTTCAACATATGAATTGATTTTCACCACTGAAACTGGAGCTAATTTTATAAAATATATAGGCCTATATAACCCCAACTTGCCTAGCTAAGGCTGTGACCAGAGTTTGAAATTTCATGTTTTCAATGGTGTAATTTTCATCTATGTATGCAGATGTTTTAAGTACACACAACATATATATATGTGTAAGCAAACTACATAAATGTACATTCACTATCAGTTTACTCAAATTGAAATACCAATTAATCCAGTTTAGGTTATATTACCATAATATATTGGTATCAAATAGATTAACAGAATAATTGGTGGATAGCTTTAACTTGATTGTAGCTTGAATATTCATTATTGAATATTTAGGTAATTTTGTTCAGGCATAATACTGTATATATGTGCTGGTTGGAGATAAAGTTCTCAATTATCTGACAATACTCCTATATCTGACATGGTGAGATCGGAACTGAGCTTTCCCCATTACTACATACATTTTCACTTCCTCACCCCAGATGTTTTAAAACATCCTCCAAATTTATTTCAGTCGTCAATTGATGCATGGATAACATTTAAGAGTACTTAAATCAGTGATTGTATGGTGGCAAGTTGGTGTCAGGATTCATGGTTATTCGATTATCATCATATATGAAATTATGTGAACAATTGCTGTAATGATTTTTGTGAATCAATTATGTAAATTGATGGGGAAAACTACACAACTCACTGCGTAGTTCATTAAATTGATTTTTAGGTCACCTGAGCTTTAGCTCAAGTGACCTATTGCTATCCGTTTTCGTCCGTCGTCGTCCGTCGTCCGTTAACATTTTACATTTCAAACTTAAAGTCAAGTTCTGCTGGGCCGATTGAACTGAAAGTTGGTAGGAATGATCGCCTCATGGTCCTGACAAAGTGTTGTTATTTTTCGGGTCGATCAGAAATCCAATATGGCCGCCACGGCCGCCATTTTGAAAACCTATTTCAAACTTAAAGTCAAGTTCTGCTGGACCGATTGAACTGAAAGTTGGTAGGAATGATCGCCTCATGGTCCTGACAAAGTGTTGTTATTTTTCGGGTCGATCAGAAATCCAATATGGCCGCCACGGCTGCCATTTTGAAAAACTATTTCAAACTTAAAGTAAAGTTCTACTTGGCCGATTGAACTGAAACTTTGTAGGAATGATCGAATCATGGTCCTGACAAAGTGTTGTTATTTTTCGGGTCAATCAGAAATACAATTTGGCTGCCATGGCCGCTATTTTGTAAATACCTATTTCAAACTTAAAAACAAGTTCTAATAGGCCGATCTCATTTAAAATCGGTCTAGGAAAGATCAGCTCATGGTCCTGACAAAGTTAAGTTAACATTATACTTAACTATTTTTTACTCAAATTGGTACATATTTCAACAACAAAAATAAATACTGTAGGACTCAGGTGACCGTTAAGGCCCATGGGCCTCTTGGTTTTTTTTTACAAAAATCTTTTGAAACCAATAATTAATCAGATTGTTCATGGTTTAACAGCACATGAACATATTAAGGACATTTAGAGGAACTACACAGGAAAATAAAATGGTAGTGTGCCATGTAGTCCGTGACCAAGGGAGGTGAATTAAAAAAGACAGAGGTAGAGTAGAATGGAAATCATGTAGAGTAGACCATATTGGGGGCATCTTACACCGTGTATTAGTTTTGTTAGGCAACCCCCCCAGCCCTCTAGATCTGTGTGAGTTAACAGTGGAGACACAAAATATAGCCAGCCCATGTGTCTGTAGGATAAGAGCTAAATATACAGGACAACCTATTGCTTTATTAATGCTACATGTATTTATGTTTCACAGGATGCTGCCATTCCAGATCCCTGTTTATCCCTGGAGGGCGTGTCTTTGTATGGCCTGTCATACAGCACCTGCAAAGGTCAGTGTCACTAAATATATATCCACCCCTATATGTGTCTGTAAGATAAGAGCAACATATAATAAATTTGATGTCAATGTATATATATATATATCACTGTTGGAATTACTTCTTTGCCCCATATATATCATATAAATACATTTGTGCGTTCACCTGTTTTACCTCACCTGGTCCGAAGGACCATGGTGAGATTATGCAATATGGCAGCTACCGTCATCCGTCCGTCAACTTTTCTTTTAAACCGCTACTAGTCCTGAACGGCTAAGTAGATTTTGACTAAATTTGGTCTGTAGCATCCTATAAAATCCTTCTACTAGCTACTAGATTTACAGGATTTTTGTCAAATTGCATATAAATATAACCCCTGTCTAACCATGTAATACATGTACACTACCAGCAACATCTAGCTATTCCAACTTCAATTTTACTAACATTTCCAGGTGAGCGATACAGACCCTGTTATAAGGTTGCGCTCTAAAAATGTTTTGAAAAAATATTTAACAAAATGGTCTCATGAACTGATGTGATGAAACAAGTGTAGTTTTATAGTAGAATTTATGACTACTTTGAAAAAGGAAAGTTTTGTAATTAGAAATAGGAGTTTAAATTCATGAATAAAAATTGAAATGTTTTGGAGACTTATTGCATATTTCTATCGCAGTTATTAAAAGAAATGATTTGTGCATAGTGCCAGTAGCCAGCTCTTGTTAGATGATCATATGCATTTCTAGAATTCTTATTTTCCTAATATTTACTTTGTGATCAATTTATGAAGTCCTGCTTTATTTTCTAAACTGCCTGAAGACATAAAATATTTCTCTTTCTCTGGATAATAATTATTTTTGCCACATGGACTCCCTCTGACTATATTAAATAGCTATTTATTTTAGATGAGGATGTATTTAAACTTAACTTAATGATTAACACTTAATGATTAAAATGCATACATGTATGTCTGCTGTTATGTAATACTTTTTTCTGTCTTCCTCCTGAAATTCCTAAGAATGGCCCTCAATACGTTGACCCTGTCCATAGAGAGCCCCATGGTATACACTAAAGAGGGTGTGGCCATTTCAGTCACTGGTATTGCACAAGTAAGTGCAGTTGACAGTTGTCTGTCCTTGGATATCCTCCCGTTATTAGACACTTGCTTTCCTTGAGCATGATTAGCAGCAACAGGGGTGTAAACATCTTGTCAAAATCAAATCTCATCCAGTCCTACTAGCTAGGTCTGGTGGCTATATATCATACCTGGCAGATTTGTATTAGAGGTATGTGAAAATCGAAGCCACTGATGATACAATATATAAGCCTGTAGCTGTCAGTTGACAAACCATTTACACCTCTCTCTTCAGTTACATATTGTGCCATTGCTTTTTTCATGACTTTTTTTTGTTTTATTTAACTGATGTTTGGTGCTTTAACCTGCTTGGTAAGTTTGAACAGGTTCATGGTAAAACAATTGTTTTTGTCACTGATCAATGACAGTTCACTCAAAATTTCTACAATCTCAAAGTTAACATTATTTCACCCATAATGCTAAAATCACTTCAAAAATATTCCAGTAACCTGTTCAACAAAAAAGCCAATAACATCAGCTTTTTGTTTCAGTTGCTGCCTATCCTTGGTTTTGTGAATTTTGGCAGTTATAGCCATTTATTTTAAATGATTTCTTTGGCTAAGTGTCTAGGGTTTATTTCAGACTGACCCTAAACACCATGGATATCCAGGTAGATAGTTCCAATGTATACACACAGCTCGGTGTAGCTATTTCTGTGACAGGAATCGCACAGGTAAGCCTCAAGTCTATTGGACTGCTCATTATCTTACTCCTAAATCCCTATTTTGCTATCTTTTCTTGCTAAAAAATACAAATTCGTGTCCATGATGTTCAGAAACAATCTAGCTATAGATATACTTACAGTCACGTGGAGAACAAAAAACAATCTAGCTATAGATATACTTACACTCACCTGGAGAACAAAAACACAATCTAGCTATAGATATACTTACAGTCACGTGGAGAACAAAAAACAATCTAGCTATATATTTACTAACAGTCACCTGGAGAACAAAAAACTATCTAGCTATAGATATACTTACAGTCAGGTGGAGAACAAAAAACAATCTAGCTTTAGATAAACTTACAGTCACATGGAGAACAAAAAACAATCTAGCTTTAGATAAACTTACAGTCACATGGAGAACAAAAAACAATCTAGCTTTAGATAAACTTACAGTCACATGGAGAACAAAAAACAATCTAGCTATATATAAACTAACAGTTACCTAGAGAACAAAACACAATCTGTAGCTTTAGATATACTAACAGTCACCTGGAAAACAAAAAACAATCTAGCTATAGATATACCAACAGTCACCTGGAGAGATGTTCAGAAACAATCTAGCTATAGATATACCAACAGTCACCTGGAGAACAAAAAACAATGTGTAGCTATAGATATACTTACAGTCACGTGGAGAACAAAAAACAATCTAGCTTTAGATAAACTTACAGTCACATGGAGAACAAAAAACAATCTAGCTTTAGATAAACTTACAGTCACATGGAGAACAAAAAACAATCTAGCTATATATAAACTAACAGTTACCTAGAGAACAAAACACAATCTGTAGCTATAGATTTACTAACAGTCACCTGGAGAACAAACAACAATCTAGCTATAGATATACCAACAGTCACCTGGAGAACAAAAACCCAATCTAGCTATAGATATACCAACAGTCACCTGGAGAGATGTTCAGAAACAATCTAGCTATAGATATACCAACAGTCACCTGGAGAACAAAACCACAATCTAGCTATAGATATACTAACAGCCACCTGAGAACAAACAACAATCTAGCTATAGATATACTTCCCACTCACCTGGAGAACAAAAACACAATCTAGATATAGATATACTAACAGTCACCTGGAGAACAAACAACAATCTAGCTATATATATACTAACAGTTACCTAGAGAACAAACAACAATCTGTAGCTATAGATTTACTAACAGTTACCTAGAGAACAAAAAACAATCTATCTATATATATACTAACAGTTACCTAGAGAACAAAACACAATCTGTAGCTATAGATTTACTAACAGTTACCTAGAGAACAAAAAACAATCTATCTATATATATACTAACAGTTACCTAGAGAACAAAACACAATCTGTAGCTATAGATATACTTACAGTCACCTGGAGAATAAAAAACAATCTGTAGCTATAGATTTACTAACAGTCACCTAGAGAACAAAAAACAATCTGTAGCTTTAGATATACTAACAGGCACCTGGAGAACAAAAAACAATCTAGCTATAGATATACTTACAGTCACCTTGAGAACAAAAACACAATCTAGCTATAGATATACTAACAGTCACCTAGAGAACAAAACACAATCTGTAGCTTTAGATATACTAACAGTCACCTGGAGAACAAAAAACAATCTAGCTATAGATATACTAACAGTCACCTGGAGAACAAAAAACAATCT